AGCTCGTAGAAAGTAAAAAATTACTTTTTTTTCTGTGATATGTATAAATATAGCAAATTTGGTTAATTAATACTACGCAGTACAAATCCTTTGTCATAGCAAACACTTGAGATCCGACTCTGTATAATTGTTCGATAAAAGCGAAAAAAAAGAATGAAATACAATAAAACACAAAAAGCTCTTCTAGAATCAAAAGTTTCGATACATTCATCACGCATTAGCAAGAATGTAATTTAAATTAAACAGATAAACACATGTTGCGACTTATTGATTAGAACTTATTTTGCTTAATTCTTACTAAATGTTTTTACAGTCTTGATCTCAGTTCTTTTGCAATTCCTACAATCGTATAAAAAATAGAACATTCCATTAGTTCTAATATCAAAATATTTTAATATTTGGAAACGCCAGCAAAATGTACTTTTTTTCCTTGACCATCTAAAGCCTCCATTAAGCTTGAAGTGAAACTGAACTCCGAACTGCTGTCATCATCTTGATCCCTGTAAAATGGGAAAACAAAAAAATTTTATAGTAATAGTTCCATTTTTATTTTAATGCTGTTTACTGAAGACGTACATAGTATTCAAACTTGTGAGACTGCCATTTAACTGTGGTATATTCGAAGGACCTTCCATTTTCAATAATTCTAGGAAGGAATTTACAGTTGCTACATAGATTCCTTTCGATCCAGCCAGTCCTAAATAACGAGGGCTAGATAACTCGATTAAAATTCGTTCTGGATTTGTCGCTGTAGTATACGCATCTTGGTCGAGTTTCACGATTTCCACGGATGAAAAATGTATGATAAACAAATATGGTTTACGGAAAGCTAATAGAAAAATAAGAAACATTTTTTTTCATGTAAATATAAGAAAGTATTTAATGTCAAGCAATGTAATAAATTTTGTTACCAAAAGCAAAAGGTAGATGATTCCAAGTCGGATCGATGTTTCGAGTTCTTTGGCCACTTTCGTTCACAAACATTCCAAACTCATTATAGCAAAGCAACAGCTCTACCTTTTCAGGTACAAGAGAAACGTTCAGAACGCACACTGGGAAAATGCCTAGTTTAGCTACTCCTGATAGCGCAGCTTTGACTGAGCTATCATCTTCTTCTGGAAATTCTATAAAATTACATAAATGCAAACATTAATTGTTAAAAAAAAAGGAGATACTAAAGAAAGTAAAAATATATATTTTTTTTATTACCATCGACGCAATAATTTTTTAGGTCGATTTGGAAAAACTTATTACATCCTACTATGAGAACGTTTTGAGCAAATATGGCACAACTACATGGCTCAGATGTCTCTAATTCTCGAACTCCAATGAATTCCCCAGACTCTTCTTCAGTGTACCATTTAAGCAATCTATATTAATGATAAAAAAAAAGTGATTATTAAAGAAGTTACTTAAAATCAAAAGATAGGTTAAACTTACATTACGTGAGATGCTGTTGCTGCACAAAGCATTTCCTTTTGCAACTGGTATAAATGGCAGCTATCAGCTCCAGTTAAAACAGCCTTCGTATTAATGGCCGGCCTCGAGCATTCGGCGGCCACCGCGTTACTTTTCAATTGTCGTAGACTACATGATACTAATTGCCTATTTTCACCAGCTATCATTAAAGCTATTCCCAAATGAGGGTGTAAGGTTAATTGATGCACTCTCTTCACTCCACGAATGGCAGTGAGGGTTCGCGATTTACCACCGCAATACGAAAACAAACCCTCTTCAGCACCCAGTAGAAGCACGTTCTCTTCAGTTAAATTTATAGCACAATTTAAATCCAACTATTTACAGAATGAACATACATTGTTAAGAAATAAAAAATATATTAAATACAATTTTATTAAGAATAAATATTAATTAGCTTACTTGATGTTTTTCTAGTCTTAATATAGTCTGATATTTTTTATTCTTATGAACATTACTCAAATGATTTTGACTAGTAACAGATTTCAAGGCTTTTAGCCAATTTTTTTTATCGGCTTGGCTCAAAGCCATGATATCTAAACGCGATGTCGGCCAACAAGTTGTCGATGAGTTAGATTCTACTCTAAAAATAAACGGCAAGTCCGACTTCGCCGTTCCTATTACATCGGGTTGGTATACGTTATCTACCACGCTGAATCCGTCTTTCTTTATTAGATCTAGGCGATTTATTGGTGCCATTCCGGGAGGCGGCTGATGCTCGTAAGTACACAAACACGTTCCCTCCAATCTGAGATACTTTCTTTCCCAACAAGTTCTCGATCGCTCTGGAAGTTTTACCCAACTTTCCATTGATGCATTATCGTTCTTATTTTGTGCACCACACACATCCTATTGCAATTTTATAATGGGTAAAAATTACTGTAAAATATACTATTGATACAATGAACACATTTACTGTCCACTGATGTCATTTTGATAAAGAACAAGATGTGTTTAAATTTTTATATGGGTAATTAAATTGAATATTATATAATTAAATAAAATAATATATTTTTGCACTGGACAATAAACGTGGTAAGATAATATCAGATATCATACTGTGTTAGGCTTCTCCGGTTGGTCCGGTTGGTCTATAGCTAATGTCTGAACGCTTCCAGACAACGATGATAAATTTTCGTCACTATTCCTCCAATTTTTGCCAAATTCTTTATTGTAACCTCCAGGCAAACCACAAGTGGTTGGGATAGTAACTGCACACTTCAAATGCGTCATTACTTGACACTCGTTGCAAATGGCGGCACGTTTCCCAAACTGAATAGAGTCTAAACACGCCGAGCATTTTCCAGCTCTCATTGGCAAGCCAACATCGAATCTATGAGGTATGTGTCCAGATCTCTGTGGCGACAAACGCCTAGTTAATGAACTGGCTGATTGTTCTATATTATAATTTGTATTTCTGACATCAGGCACTGCTGGAGATGTAGGCGCAGATGTTGAGGCATGCACAGCTTTCAGAGCTAATAATTGATCAGTCAACGTTTTAACTTTAGCACGTTCTTTTGCCAATTGATTCTCCAGTTCACGGTATCCAACTGGCATTCCAGTGCCGCTGGGAGGTAGATTCTCCTTTTGTTTAGTACCAAGTATTTTATCACATACCGTCTTTTTCTTTTTACTGCATTCTTCTAATTTGAATTGCAAGTAATCTATCAATTTTGTCTGCTGTTGTCTTGTACTTTCTGCTTTCACTTCCCTTTCTTGGTAAAACTGTCTCATTTCCTCTAGAATACTCTCCAATTCTGAAATTCTCATCCTAAGTTCTTGACCTTGATCTATACTACTCTGTAAATCATTCATAAGTACAAAATTCGCCTCTTTTAATTCATGAACTCTAGTTAAGTGTTGACTGCTTTCTTCTTTGACGACTCTCGTTTCAGCCTTAGTTACTTCTAAGGCTCTCTTCACTTCTGAAAGGTCGCATTCCAGATCGCCGCATTTGGTAGTCAATTCTTCGACCTGGCCGCTCAATTCTTGTACAAGTTTTTTGTACTGATCTCTTTGAGCGATTAATCCATTCCTTTCGCTCTCAATATCACTCGTCTCCGATTCAAGCCTCTCTATATTTCGTTCCGCAGCTAGTCTCAGTGATCTCTCTTCGTTTAGAGCGGAATGTGCTTCGCGGAGCTTTGCCTCAATGGATTCCAGTTCTTTCTGTAACTTCATTTTATCTTGAATAAGTAAATTTTCCCGCGTCTCGTGATTGCTTGTTAATCTTTCATAATCTGTAAGTTGTTCTTCCAGTACTGTGCATGTTTCCTTTAGAAGTTCAGTGTTTAGTTCATAACCCTTGATATCTTGTTCTAATTTTTCGATCTTAGATTCCAGTTCGATCTTTTCTTCAGTATGTTTTGCAATCATCTGAGACAAACACCTACTTTCAACATTTAGACTGTCAAAACGATCTTGAGTTACTCTTGCTTGCTTTCGTGTCGCATCTAATTCTCTACGTAGCGAAGCACTGGAAGATTGAAGCTCCTCTATTTGGTGGTTAGCCTGAGTTAGAGCCCTTTGAGCCGAATCAGCTTGCATTTTGTTTCTAGATGATTCCCTTGTAATGTCGTTTAATGATGCCTTTGCACTATCTAGTTCTTTAAGAAGTCTTTTAGATTTTTCTTCTTCCTCTTTTATTTTGCTATCTAATCTTTCGGTTAATTTTTGTTTCTCCTCTTGTAACGATTTAACTTTATCTTCCGTTTTTTTGCCTTCCCTTATTGCGATTCGTTTATCCAAATTCGCATCCGATAATTCTTTTTCCTTTTTCCACAAACTAATCTGTGCTTGTTTCGTGGTCTGACGTTCCGCATTTACGTTTTCTTTCATCGTTTGAAGCTCTTGTTCTAATTTCCGTACTTGTTCTTCTACATGAGTGTCTGTTTTAATTATACTCTTTCTAGGCATTATATTTGAATCTGGATATGTTTGGGTTTCCATTTTGAGAGTGGCATTCTCTGCTTCTAGTTTAGTGACGCTCTGCTCTAAGCGTCGTAACAATTCTTCTAAATTGCCAACCTTACGTAAATGTTCTTCTGTAAATGAAGACAAATTTTTACTACACATTATTTTATACATTATTTAAAAAAGTTACGAATTTATAGAAATGTACCTTCTTTTTCAAGAGAATCTTGTAACCTTTTTTGTAATGTAGCTTTGTCTTGTGCTGCTTGTTCGAAATTTAAAGCTAGGACTTCACTCTGTTCCAAATTCATCATAGTTTCAGTCAGGTCGGATTTCATTACCTTTGAACAAGAAAACAAGAAACTGTAGAGATGGATAAAGAATTATCACTGAACATCAAAGGAAATATTGATTATGTACCTGTAGTTGATGTTTCAACTGTACATTTTCAAGTTTTGATATCTCTAATTGTTCTTGCATTGTTGTAACCATCTGTTCTGATGCTATAGCACTATCTAGTTGCTTTGACCTTTCTTGCAATTGTTTTTTTAAAGCTACTATTTCAGTATCTCTGGCTGGTAATGTAGCTTGTATACTGCGTAACTGTTCCTGACAGTCCTTCAGTTCATTTTGACCTAATTCTAAAGCAACATTCAGTCTTGACTGACGGCAGTGATTGGAATCTTGTTCATTTCTCAATTTAGTCTCTAAGTCTGTATTTTTTGCTATTTCCAAGTCTAATTTTGCTCTGAGTTCAGCTAACTGATTATGTGACCTTGTGGCTATTTCTTCTAGTTTAGTTTCAACACCTTGAATACTTTGTCGACTAAGTTCTCTTGTTTTGGCTAATGATTCTTTATATTGCATCTAATAAATCAGAAAAACAAGTAAAAATTAAACCAGTATTATTATAATATGTTACTAGAATGTACTTATATATACTTATATATATATGACACTAACCTGAAATACTCTAAGTTTGTGTAATTCAGCATTTGCTGTTTCAAGTTCACATTCTGTCCTTTGTAATCTTGAACTCATTTCATTATTGCTGGTGCACAATTCTGTAATTCTTACAGTTTGCAATTCAATATGCTTATTCAGCTGTGCAACCTTATCTTTCTCTGCATTCTCCCATTTACGTTTAGCATCTTTTATTAAACAAAGAGCTCTAGTTTCTAAATCTCTTCTTTCTTGACGTTCTAGCTCTGTCATTATAACATAATAATTGCACACAATATACATGTACAAGAATATACAAGAATCTACTGATTACAATTCCTACTATGTGTACTACTATATGATGATAGCCATAACTAATAACATTAATAAGTTTTAGAAACATTGTACTCATAAATTCACGATTATTAATATAATACATATTGAATATAAATATGATCATGGGCTAGTCAAACAAACTCCATGATCACTGTATTGATTAATGTAGTAAAGTACACATTTAATGCAAATTAAATTACCCAGTGTCTTTTTTATTCCAGTCAATTCTGATCTTGTTGCAATTAATTCTCTTTCAAATATATCCCTCTCCTTACTAAATACTTCCAATCTTTTTGTTTTCTCTTGAAGTTGGACTTCCAACTGCATCATCTGACTAACTTTATCCTGTAGTTCAAATATCTGTTTTTGTTTCTCCTGCATCTCTTTCTTTTTGCTGCCTAATTGTGCCTCTAGTTCACTTTTTTCCTTAGAGAATTTTTCAAATTGAGATGAATGATTCTTGTGAAACTTAAATTCAAAAGTAGAAGAGCACTCTTTTGGGACATCTTTGGAAGGATCTTCTAATTCTAATGCAGGAGCATTTCTATCATCACCTATAAATGCAGAATACATCAGTCTTCAAAGAAAATATGCAATGCCACTAAAACACTTTTTCTGAAAAAATGTTACCCAGACTCTTCCGCATTATGGCCAAATCACATTTTGCAATTCTCAATTCTTTTTCCAACTGTTTTCTCTCCATCATGGACTTGTAGCGACATAAACATGGCGAGTGAGTGTGGTATGACTGATGAGAGAATGTAGAATAATTATTGAGTGAGAGCGTGGTATGACTGATAGAAAGTGTGAAGTGAGCGCAGAAAAAGAGAGAGAGAGTAGATGCGAAAGAATGTGAGAGGTGTGCGCCACGGCGCCACGTGCGACAGATCAGAAACAAGCGAACCGCCGAGCAGGACACAATCCATATAAAAGAACTTGCAATAAAGCCAAGGGCAGTACAATTGGTAACCTTGACTCCGAGTTTTCATACTGAAAATGGTGGTTCTGTTAGCGAATTCGACCTAGCAAGGTCAGTATTAAACTTTCGCTATTTTGGGTAGACAAACCAGAAATATGGTTTTATCAAGTAGAGGCTCAATTCCATATCTGTAATATTACACAAGAAGATACTAAATTCAATTATCTGGTGGCTCAGCTAGAACCGAAATATATTGAAAATATATGGGACATTATTAATGGTAATAGAAGTAATAAATACACTTCGGCGAAACAGAGGCTGTTAAGCATATTCAAAGAAAGCGAAAATAAACGCATTAAAAGATTAATTACAGGAATGGAACTGGGAGATATGAAATCCACCCAGTTGCTTCGCAAAATGAGGTCATTAGGGGACACAGACGATATCTCAGACAAAGTTCTAAGAACTCTGTGGCTCGAAAAAATGCCAAACCACGTGAGAAGTGTTTTGATAGTGAAGCGACGAAACGTTAGAAAAATTGGCGGAAATGGCGGACAAGATGGAATTGGCTAGTGTCAGTAAGGATATACATTGGAATGATATTATGTCGAAAATTTCTGCCCTGGTACAGCAAATAACAAGAAGCAGAAGCTTCGATCGAAGTTACGGGAAAAGGGATAGTGGGTTGGTGCCCGTGGAGCGCTGAGCGCTCTGTTCGCTGTGGTGCGGGAATATTCAAATAAAACTTGGAAGATTTTTCGTTGTAACTAGTACTTCTACATACATATATTTCACAACTGTTCAAGACCTTTTAAGATTAACGAAGCTTCAAGAATCAAGATACAAAATTGGAATGAATAACTTTGGAAATTTTTGGACACGAGGTCTCTCTTCTTGTTCTTCTCCCAGAATCTGGATCCTGGTGGTCCAATCGAGAAACACTTTCCACCCCATAGATCGGCGCTTCTTCTCCCACACGTACCCCACCCCCGATCCTTCGTTAGTGGATGGTGGTGGCAGTGCTTCGTTGATAGTGGTGGAACGCAACGCCGATGTAACCGCCAACGTGATGTGCACGTGCGAGGGAAAGTGTGCACGTAGTGATTCGCGCGAGAACTAGCCCTTGACAATATCCCTGTTATAAAATTAAATAAACTAAGTCCGGGTAACGTTAGGAACACTTTAAAATGATAAAGATCGTAAAAATTCCGAAATTTGAGCGTAAAACTTAAAAACATGCGTGAAAATAGCTTACTGATTCCGAAAAATATTGAGCATCTAAAAAATGGTTGATTTACACTACCTAGATTCCGAAAAATTCGAACGTCTGAGAAATAGTTGACTTACACTACTTGCTTCGATTGTGAATATTTTCCAAAATATGCAACTCGAAGCTAATTGGTAGTGTTAGTCAATAACTTCTCAGACATGTCAAAATTTTCTAAG